AAAAGCGCCTGGGACAAGGACAACAACGAGGCCAAGACCAGGGGGCAGGAGGGGGTGGCGGGGGTGTCTCAGAGACCGGGGCTGCGTCTGCCAGACAGGTGGGCCTGCAGGCAAGGAGACGTGGAGAAGAGATGCAGCGTGGGCTGGGGGTGGGGCCAGGGAGGCCGGCTCAGGCACGCACCAGGACCTTGCGGCCTTTGATCATGGAGATTCTGAGGTTGAAGACCTGCACTTGGACGGTTTTGACATAGGAGGCCTCCAAGTTTCCACCGCAGAACTCGTTGGTGGCGCTCACGACGAAGTAATTCTCTGGGGACCTCAACCAACAAGGCTGGGTCAGGGTGTAGGTGCAGGTGCCCATGAAGTGGTGCAGGGCTCCGTCGAATGTCAGGTAATGGGGGTCCCCCGAGACAGTGCAGGTAGCGGACCCTGGGCAGGAGGAGATGGCGTTCAGAGAGGCACTGACCCTGAGCTGCCATCTTGGCGAGTCCACATTGGAATGGCACCCATGGCTCATCGGGGTGGTTGGTGTGACTCGGAGAGGTCAAGGTCAGGGACTGCCCCAGCCTCACTCTCTGGGTCCTTGAAGACGTGGCTGTGGCTCTGGGCAATTGCCTTCCAGCCCCCTGGTTATGCTCCAGCTCTCTGCGTTAGGACAGGACCATGCCTTTGCTCGAGGCCACATGGGCAGCCCCCATGAGCACCTTCTTTCGACTGCTCACCTTGAGCGTGGCAGCCATAGATGCCATCCTACCGACCGCACACCTCCTGGGCCTGGCACCTCCACTGCACACAGCGAGTTCTGTTGCTGCCCTCACAGATGCAGAGCTGTCTGCAGCCTGGCTTGAACCACCGCTCCCCTACCTGGCGGACGGACCGAAGGAAGGAAAATAAGTTATCCCCTGATCTATTAGCACTGCTATTCAGATCACCGACCTGCTCACCAGGAAGGCATTCGTGTCATCCCAAAGCTCCAGGCTTAGTTGCAGAACTCTGGCGCTCACCCACTCGTTCAGTCACTCCACTGTTTGTTCTCTAGTTCAACACACAGTTATCATCTGCCTTGTGCCAGGCGTCAGGGATTCAGTAATGAGCTGGATGGATGAGGTCCCTGCCCTAACAGAACTCACAGTCCAGAGAGGGCAGTCAACATGTAAACAGATAGATCACATGGTCCAACACACTCTGCACCCAAAGATGATGATCAGGGCACCCAGGGAGAGTTTCGTGCCATTGACACAGACAATCGGCACTCGCCACAAGAGCTTAGAGATGCTTCTCAGGAGGGCTTCAAGGAAGAAGCAGCATTTCAACAGGGCCTCAAAGGAGGTGAAATTGGCTAACAGGCATAGTGCCTGGGAGACGGAGCAGCGGGGAAGGGCTGAAAAGCAGGTGAAACTGAGAGAGCAAAGCGCAGACGAGGAGAGTTCCGTGGGCCAGCCTGGAATGCAGCACCGAGCAGGGATAGCCCAGGGGACACCAGGTGGGAGGGGGCTGGCATGGACATCAGTGTCACCCCAGGCCTCAGGTGAGGGACAGGCAAAGGAAGAGACAAGGATGGGAGTCTAGCTCCAGGTGCTGCTGCCTCTGAGAAGATGGTGAAGACGGGGCCCAGGCAGCGGCTGAAATCCTTCAGCAGAGGAAGGGACCCTCAGTAGGAGAGAAAGAGTACAGGTGAGATGCAGACATGCCTGGGCCTTCAGAGGATGAGAAACTGGGAAAGTGACTCAGGGATGTGACGGGCAGGGAAGATAGGAGGGGAGAGAACTGGGGGTCCCAGGCTCTGCTGGGCAGCGTGGGAAATAACTGTGCTATGACTCCATCCCGGTCTGCAGGGATGAATAGTACTAGAACTGAAGAAAGAAAAAGGGAAATTAGACCTAAGCCCGAAGTTCCTTAATCCCAGCCCGACCCCCCGCCCCCCGCTACCCGCCACCTTTTCTCTCCTGCCCACAAGCTGGCCGTAGACTTCACAGCTGGGATGAGTACCTTTTGGCTGCAGGGCTGAGAGAGGCCCAATCCCAGTGGCTCACCTTGAAGTAGCCGGCCGTGGGGTCAAGGCAGCCACACTCGGACCTGGGGACGCACTGGAGACCGCTGAGGACGAAGCCCGGGTCGCACTCGCAGCCCTCCACGCAGTGGGTCTGGCAGGCCATGCCCGAGAACTCGGAATGGCAGGTGTCGGGGCACAGCTTGGCACACAGGGTGTATCGGCTGTTGGGTGGACAGGCCAGCGCTGGCGGGGGGGCAGGGAGCACAGGTGAGGCGGGATGGAGAAAAGAGGAAAAAGGTAGCTCCCAGCCCAGAGTTCAGAAGGCCGGTGGCTAGAGGCTTCCGCCCCATCTTGAGAAGAAGACAGTGACTGGGAGAAACCACCGAGGAGCTCAGCTTCCACGTCCTGGGCCTGGAAGGGGGCCTGCAGGGAACTGCCAAGAGGCAGGACCACGGGAGCAGACTGACCCAGAAGCCTCAGCAGCATTGCTGTGTAGGGTGGAGGGGAGCAGAGGGAACCCATGTGGCCCCATCAAGGCCCCAAAGCAGGCTCCCCAGAGGGCTGGGCCATGACCAGGAGCTGTGGGGCCGTCATGACGCGCCATCCCACCCACCAGTCTGTACCGTATGCACGTTTTGTGTATTTTACCTGTGCATCCCTCGACCTGGGTGTGCATTTACACACATATGCATTGCTCTGCATACCCGTACCTTCAGGTAGCTGGGAAAGCTTTCTTTCTTTTTTTTTTCTTTTCCCCCAAAGAGCTTTAATTAAGACTTTAATAGAGCAAAAAGAGGTCAAAGTGTAGTCAGGACCCAAATCAGAGGGAACAAAACCAAGCTGGATCCAGGCTGAAAGTGTTGCCTGGAAAACCCACAGCTGGGAGCAAACCCCGGGAAGGCTTTCTGAGTTTGCAGGTGACCGTGTGATTTTCTCAGTGCACGTTTCTGACTCTGCAGATCTCCCTGTCCTAGTGTGGAGGCAAAGGGGCTCCACCAGGGCGCCGCCCAGCCTGTGCCACCACTCTCAGATGCCGCCGGCCCTCCACTGCGTCTGCGTCTGAAAGAAGGGGCCCTTCTTGGTACAACTCACAGCAGAACTGGGGTCCTCTCCAGGGCTTCACCACGCAGCCGGCATCCTGGCAGGTCTCAGTCAAGGCCGACATGTGGGCACACAGCATCTGCTGCAGCCCCTGGAAATTACACATGTCAAACATGCAGTTGTCGAAGAAGGAAGAGGCCCTGAGGAGAGGAGAGGCCAGGTCAGAAGGAATGAGGGGGCAGAACTTCCCGCCTCCTGCCATGGAGGACCTGCTCCCCGCCCCCATGGCCCTTCCTGTCCCCCCCCACACCCCGGGCCCCCGCACATACTCAAAAGCTCCGTGAGCGACTGTGAGCCGTCCACAGAACTCTGGCCCCAACACAGTGTTCTGCAAGGCAGTGCCGCAAGATGGGGGAGATGCCTGGTTCTCCTGGCACCTGGAAGAGACCCACCCCAAACGCCCTAAGGACCGAGGCTCACCTCCACGCCCACCCCGCCCCAGCAGTCTCCCGGCTCTCGGCATCCCCTACTGGAGAACATCTGAACACCAAGAGGTGGGAAAACTTGGAGCCGGGCGAGCAAGAGGCGGGGCTGCCCACAATCGCCTGGGGACGACTGACTGATGGTGGGGCTGCGGGTGAACGTGGTGGCAATGAACTCTGCTGGGAACGGGAGCGGGGGGAAGAATGACAGACGTGGGGGTGTGCAGCAGAGGAGAGAGGAGAAAAGGGGTGATGCCAGTCGGTATTCTTGGTTCCTCGAAGGAGCAAAGGAGCAGGAGGGCAGAGACGGAGGCGGGGAGGTCCTCACTCGTGGTTTTCATCCTCCGAGGCCTGCCAGCTGCTACCAAGCTCCGTCTCATCTCGCGCTGGTCTGCCATCCGGCTTCCGGTTGTCGTTGCTACTGTCGCCATCATAGTTGCCACAGAAACCGCAGAGTTTGCCGGAGTAGGTGCTGCGGGGGGCCGGGGGGAGGGGAGGAGGAGGCGTTAGTGGAGAGAAGGGGCCTCCGGCATCTGAGGGACCACAGCAGAGAGGGGATGAGTCGCGGGGGCCACCGGCACGAGGTGGGTGGAGGATGCAGAGGTGCAGACTCGGAACAAGGGTTCCACGCCAGGCACCAGGCGCGCGAGGGCCCCAAGCTCTCACTCTCGACCCATCTTGACGTCTCCCCTCATCCTCTTCTGCTCACACTTCAACTTCCAGCCATAACAAACTTCTTGCTGGCCCTGAGACATTCTACTCTTTCCCCCGCAATGACTGTTCACTATTTCTATAGTCTTTCTTTCCCTTGTTTGGCCATCTGGGGAGCTACTCATCTTTGGAGACTGCAGTCAAGGGACCACCCTTCTGAAGCCTCCCACGACTCATTAACAACTCCTTCTAGAACATTCCCAAAGCCTTGTGTATATATCCTGCTACTATCACACTGCCCTGAAAGCATTTCCTCCCCCTCCTCAACCAAAGGGAGGCCTGCCTGTTGAGCTAGGTGTCTCCTACCCGACTGAGAATTAGCGCCTGGGATGGCAGGGGCTGGGGATGGGAGGGTCCTGGGAGAGGGAGGGGCAGGGCGGGAGGAGTGGTAGCTGCCTCGCTGGGTCGCCCCCTCACCTGGGCACGCTCACAGACAGCTGCTGGTCACCATCCCATCTCACCCGCCGACCGAACGCCGTCTGCAGCTGCACAAATCGCCCACTTGGAGTCAGGAAGATGCCTTTAGAAGGTATTGCTGGGAGGGTGACTCGCTGACCCCCAACCTGGAAGGTGGGGCCGAGGGAGGAGACAGAGAGACAGATCCGGGGGTCAAGGAGGACCCCCAGCAGACTCCCAGATCCCCACCACCACGCTAATGACCTCTTCTGCTCCACGTGGAATGCTCTGGAGGAGATGGGCAGGACAAGGCCACAGCCAAGGCCGGCAGCCCTGCAGGGCTGAGTGGAGAACGGACTCACCAGCGTGTGTCTGCCCTTGAGCAGGGTGATGGTGGTTTCGGGCAGAGTCACGTAGACCTTGCTCAGGCAGGACACGCCCTCCTGTCCTCGCTCCTCATTCTTCACCGTCAGCCTGAAGAATGGCTCTGGGCAGGGAGAGGGGCGGAGAGCGCCCAGGGGTTCATTCCAGAAGCATTTCTGAGCGCCCACTGAGGATGCCACCCCCAACCGGCCCTGCGCCCTGTGAGGATAAAGGGCCACAAAGGTGGCGGCTCTACGGTTCAAGAGGGGAGGAAGGATCCTGGAAGGAGTGGGGCGTCGTCCAGAACAGCATGGGGCTGTGTGCCGCGAATTTGTCCCCCCAGGGGACAGGGACCTCCTCCGCCAGGCACGCCCTAGTCCAAGCCAGCCAAGGAAGTGACGGATACAGAGAGGAGTCCTAGCCCGCATTTTCCCCGTAGTCTGGTCCTCACAAAGTCCTGCTTGGGGATGGACGTGTCATCTCTTGCTCTACCGCCGGCCTTGCTCCCGTCTTGCCCCTGCCAGCGGCTCTGGCCCTTTCCTGCCGGCCAGTGCACCCCATGCCCAGCTCTTCTGATCTCAGACCCCACGCCCAGGCCGTGGGGGGGCATCTCCAGGGGCCTACCTGTTGAGTTGCCACAGGGTTGGGCCAGGATGTAGGTGTACTTGCCCATGAAGCTAAAGTGCCTCCCATCGAAGGTGAAGTAATGAGGGTCTCCGTAGATGAAGCAGGTGGCAGTGCCTGCCGAGGGGACACCGGGGACATGTGAAGCTGGTTCACCAGGCCAGGCCCCAGGGCCCACCTCACCCACCCAGTGGCCTGCCCAGGCTCCCCTTGTCAAGGGAGGGATGGGGACCCTGGTGTCACACCCACGTGGACAGATGGGAACAGCCTGAGGGTCTCACCATAGGGGTGGCATCCGTACTGGCCATTCTTCAGCTGGCACACTGTATGTGTCCCGCACTTATAGGGCTGGCACTCCGTCCGACTGCCAGGCTGGCAGCGGCAACGTTCTGTGCAGTTGGGGCTGAACCACCCTGTCCCCGGCTGAGGGAAAGCGGGCCGGAGTCATGAGGCCGTAGCTCCTGGGCAGACTCTGTCATCCCATGCTGTAGTCCCCTCCCCTCCTGCAGACCTCACCTTGCTCAGACTCCTCTCCTCGTCGCCTAGCAGATATTCCTGCTCAACCCAGGCCCTTTGCACATGCTGTGCTGGAACGTGTCCCTCTCTCTCTCTCTAACCCATTCCTGTGCAACTAGCGGAGTTCAGCTCAAGGGTTGCTACCTTCTCAGGAAGACTCTCCAGACCTCCTTGACTACCTCTGGGTACCTTTCCTTCCCAGGACTTACCACAGTTGCACTTTTATATTCATCTTTGTGATTATTTGATAAGCGCCCCTGCGAGGGACCATGTCTATCTTTACTCACTATCTCAGCGCCAACACCTAGCACAGTGCCTGACAAAGAGTTCTCATTTAATAAATACTTACTGAGTGAAAGAACGAACCAACATCCTATGCGCCCCCCAGAATCTGACAGCATTAGGAGAGCAAGGACATGCCCTATTCGTGGTGACCCCAATGCCGAGAGGGTTGAAGGTACCCAATAAAGGTTTATTGAATGCATAAGTGAACATACAGTAAGTTCGTATGTGTCTCCCGGGGCAGAGGGAAGAGATGCTTGGTACTGATGGTTGTGACAGATAGTTCTATCCGGGCTGCAGCTGAAGCTACTCCCAACACTGACGCAGGGACGCCCGGGAGACGGGTCGAGAGGGCTGGAGGAGGAAGGGGCCCCCAAAGAGGCAAGCAAGAAACTCGGACGCCCCATGGGGAGAACGCCGGAGCTGAGAAGAGGAACTGATGTTAATGAATAGCTGACCGAACTTTTACTTTACAGGTCACATATATTTACCATAAATTGCTAACAATAATAATTAGCATTTATTAAGTAATTGCTCTGTGTCAGGATCTAATCTCACCTTCACAACAACCTAATGAGGTAGAAAATCTTGTTGTGCCCATTTTATAGATATGGGAACAGATTTGAAGGAGGCAAGAAAGAACCTCGCCCAGGGTCACTCTGCAAACGAGTGGCGGAGCGGGGATTTGAGCTCAGATTGGCCTGACTCTTGGGCGGCTCTGTCCAATACAATGGCCACCAGCTACATGCCACTGAGCTCTTGAGATGTGGCCGGTGCAAACTGACATAGTCTGTAAGTATAAAATACACACTGGATTTTGAAGACTTAGTAGGAAAAAAAAAAAAAAGGTACGTAAATGATCTCATTGATAACCACCGATTACATGCTAAAACGGGAAGATGACTGGAGTTAACTTAACCTGTTTCCTTGTACTTTTTCTTTTCTTTGTTTTTTGGCCTCACTCGCGGCTTGTGGGATCTTAGTTCCCCAAGCAGGGATTGAACCCGGGCCCTCAGCAGTGAGAGTGTGGAGTCCTAACCACTGAGCTGCCAGGGAATTCCCTCCTTGTAGTTTTTTTTTTTTTTTAATGTGGCTATTAGGACAAGTAAATGCTGTGTGAGGTTTGCACGCCATCCCTTTTGGACAGCGCTGGCCCAGAGCCTGTGCTCCACCAGAATCTCCCGGGGGGATGGGGATGGGCATCAGTTAGGAGAGACAAGAACAGAATCTCCTTTCCTTTGACCTAGCCTATCAAAATTTGCAAGTTCCGTTGGAAGAAGGTTCTGGAATGCCTCATTCTGCCCTGAAAATGCCTGAACACACTCAGTGTCCAAGGCTCTCTGTGTACTCAGGGACCCCTGACTTTCCTCAGGATGGAGATAAGGGCCCTGCACCACCTGGCTGGTCTATGGTCTAATGTCTCATGGCTGCCAGTGCAGGACGGAGAAATACAGAAATATCAAAGCTGCCAGGAGCACCGAGGACAGGGCCACGGGCTGACAGGATCTTCCACACAGCCTAGTGTCAGGCTGGGCCAAAGCAGGTGCTTAACAAGCATTTATTGTGTGAACAGAGCCGAGGGACTTCCCTGGTGGTCCAGTGGTTAAGACTCCGCACTTCCACTGCAAGGGGCACAGGTTCAATCCCTGGTCAGGGAACTAAGATCCCACATGCTGTGTGGCGTGGCCAAGAAAAAAAAATAATAAAATTAAGGCAAAAAAAACACACACCGAATGAATGACTCCACCACCGTGTCACAGCTGCCGGAGAGCTGACCCCTTGGGAATGTCCCATGGATCCAAATTCATGTCACCTGGGGAGCAGGTAGCGCTGGACCCCAGGTGTTCGGCTCGCAGTCTCCCTCAGAGGATCTGGGCATCCTGGGGTCTCACCTTATAGTAATTGTCATTGTAGGAGCAATTGCAGGAAGAGGCACTGATGCAGCGGGAGTCGCTGAACAGAAAGCGAGGATCGCAGACACAGCCGGGCTTGCAAAGGAGCCCACAGTTGGGCGTGGGGCTCTGGCAGGATGCTGGGCAGGCGCAGCGCTCGTAGTGGGCGTTCGGCGGGCAGCTCACTGAGGGGAAAACAGCCTCCGTCAAGCCCCCGGCTTTCCTCCTGTCTCCCCTCTGCCCCCCACTCCCGTGCTTCTTGAGGAAGGAGGCCCATGTTACTCCGCCATTCAAAGGAAGGAAGTCCTGACACAAACTACAATCTGGATGAACCTTGACAACAACATATGCTGAGAAAAAAGAAGCCAGTCACAAACGACCACCGATTATATGGTTCCACGGTATGAAATGTACCGAACAGACAGAAAGCAGATTCGTGGTTGCCAGGGGCTGGGGGGCGGGGGTAATGGGAGTGACCGCTAATGGGTACGGGCTTTCTTTAGGGGGTGATGCAAATGTCCTGAAATGGAAAAGTGAGGATGGCTGCACAGTCTTGTGAATATGCTAAAACCACCAAATCGTACACTTTGAAAGGATGAATTTTTACAGCAGTGAATTATATCTCAAAAAAAAGGCAATAGTTCCCAACAACTCCCACTCCCCCATGCCCACCCCCCACCGCGGCCCTCTCACTCAGGGTCGTCCTCATCATCCTTTCTAAAGTCATCGTCTCTGGTTCCCCTCTCCTCTGAGACTGCAGTTTTCTACTGGAAGCGTCCGTTTCCCCAGCCCTCTCCCCTCATCACTGTCTCTGACTTTCAGCTCTTTGTCCGATGCTCCACCACAAACCTGGAGTAGGTCTCGGGGTTGCAGTGGTGGCCGGGGTCACGGTGGTCATGGAGGTACTTGGCATCACAAAAACTGTTGGCCAGGTGGGTACAAGAGTTGGGCTGGGCTGGGGTGTCGTGGGAGCTGTGGGCCTTGCAGTGGGGACCGTGGGTTTTTCCGTGGGGATGGTGGTCCTTTCGGTGGGGACCGTGGGTTTTTCCGTGGGGATGGTGGTCCTTTCGGTGGGGACCGTGGGTTTTTCTGTGGGGATGGTGGTCTTTTTAGTGGGAATGGTGGTCCTTTCGGTGGGGACTGTGGATATTTCACTAGGGCCAGTGGGTTTTTCTGTGGGGATGGTGGTCATTTTAGTGGGAATGGTGGTCCTTTCGGTGGGGACCGTGGATATTTCACTAGGGACAGTCGGTTTTTCTATGGGGGTCACAGGTTTCTCTGTGGGGATGGTGGATATTTCAGTGGGGACGGTGGGTGTTTCCTCAGGGGCCACAAGTTTCTCTGTGCAGACAGGGGTTTCAGGAGGGCCAGTGCAGGTAACGGGAGGTTTGGAAGGAGGCGCTACTGATGCAGGTCCTGCAAAGAAAATAAATCCCTGGAGTTTAGTCAGAATCGTACCACCACCCCCTTGACTCACATCTAATTGGAATGGGTGCGCTCAAAGCAGTAACTCATTCACACCTCTCCGTCTCCTCCCCGCCCCAGCCTCCACTCAGGTAACACTGACAAACACCGTTCCTAACATATGTCTGATCTTGCGCCAGGTACAGGAAACAAATAACAAATAGGATATCAGCCTTCCCTTCAGGATCACCATTCACTAGGTGAGGGGTCTGACCACAGAAATCCACGGCATCAAAGTCACATTCACTCAAGCAAGCATTCTGATGGGGCTGGGAAGGTACAGGTGGGCAGAATATAGAAAATAAAGCTGCGTGAGGACTCGAGCACAAGAGGACTTGCATTTTAAGCAGCTCACGCAGAGAAGCCCAAGAGATGGTCATCCTGGAGCACGGCCCCCTTTCCGGGACCTGGGGTTTTGTCTTACCTTGACAGGTCCCGTGACTGATCAAGATGAAACCCAGAGCAACAATGAAGGCGGTGCTGGTGCCCCTCTTGGCCTCAAACATCAGCTGAAGGTACGAGGGAGAAAGAAGCAAGAGAGAAATGAAAGTGAACCCCCGTCAACTCAGCGACTCTCCGGGCAGAGGGTCTGTCCTCTGCTAACACGTCGCCTTGTTCTGGCCTCAACAGTGCAACGGGGGCCCGGGCCCCTTCCAGGAGCCAGAGAATCTCACAGGGAACACAGAGCACCCTCTGCTCTGCTGTTTTTCCAGTGTCCCATCCTCTCAGCCCTGGTTGTGCTCCCTGATCCCAGGCGTTATGTCCCCCTCACCTGGCCTCACAGTGACACTTTAAGAGCGACTCTCTCTGTCTCTCACCTGCATGGGCTGTTGATGTCCCGAAGGGATGGTGATGGAGTCGTTCAGCCAGTCAGCGCTTTGAGACCCAACTCGTTCCCAGAGAGGAGCTGGGGAACTGTCCGCAGGGCTCCCCAGCAGAAGCCTGAGCTTCGTGCCGTTTCCGAGGCCATACATGTGGTAGGTAAACTCCACACAGATTGCACCCGGGGCACAGAAGGTCCGGCTCACCAGTCTGAAAGACTGGCCTGCCTGGGAGAACTTGTCAGCCTCAAGGTAGACAAAGTGACCCTCTGGGCAAAAGAAGGGAACAGGCAAGGTGAGAAACCTCCAGAGGACAAGTCTGGTGCTTTCTTGAGCGACATCTTGCTTTCCAAATGGGGATTTGATGCAAACACCCAAACTCCCCACATTGCAGTGGGTTTTTCGTTTGTTTGTTTTGTTTTGTTCTCTGCTCATTTTAGACTTCTAACTAAGAAGGCAGGAGCAGAAAGAAACGGAAAACCAAGCCAGCAACCCAGATTCCTTTGTTGGCTGCACCAGTAAATGTCTTGACTGAAGATGACCCAGTGGATTTTGAGGCCTTGGGCTCAATGAAGCGCTATACCTGGATCTTCTGGGGGTTTCAAGTGACCCCAGAACCACGAGAATCCTCAGCTCACTCTACCTCTGTGGCCTCCACAGCTCTGGCCCCATGGCGGCTTCCCAGTAAACACCCGCTGGCTGACCCTCACCACCTACACCGTGTGTCAATCACACCAGTCCACCCCCTCGCTGGGAGCAGATTCAGTAACTCGTTGGCTTGAGGGGTCCTCCATCTCCTCACCTCCATTAAGGGAGGCTCCCAAGGGACCTGTACCCTGGATGAGCGTGTTTTTACTTCCCTGGGTCCAGTGTCCGCCATCCTGTAATGCCTGGACCCAGTCACAGAAGGGATGGGCCTCATCTTCAAAGTCACACTGAGGAAAGCTCTCTGGGGGATCAAAATGGGAGATGGGGCCCAGATCAAATCTGGGCCATGCTCTCTATTCCTCCCCCATCCCCAACCCCCATTCTCAGAGCTGCTCTCACCCCCGCAGGGAGCAATGCTGATTGCATCCACCGCCACCGCTGGCTCTGGGAATCTTTCCAAACATGCCCACCATGGTGAACTGAAGAGAGAGGGAGAAGGGACCGGGAGTGAGGAAACAGCCCAAATGTTCAGCCCCCTCCATTTGATTTTACTCTCTTCAGGGACCCAGGCGCCCGGCTTCCAGGGCCCAGACCTTCAGCCCTTGTCAATAACAGGTGCGCCTCCCACGTCCAAGGAGACCTGACGCCTCCTGCTCCTCTGTACCTGAATCTGTCCCTGGCCTGTGTAATTGACAGAAACAGGCTGCCAGTTGGGTCCGGGTTGTCCTGAAAAGAGTGTGTGTTTCCGGAGGCTGCCTACAATGGAAGGAACCCAAGAGAGCAGTGAGATGACTCAGGGCTGGAAAATGACTTCAAACCTATACTCAGAAGGATGAGTAGCAGAGGGACCACTTGGAGTGGATTCCCCTCCTCTATGTGCAAGCACGTCCTCTCTCTCACTCTCCTGGCGTTTTTATCTATTTTTCCAGAACCCTGTGCCTTCCGCTCCCAAATTCCACTCCGCAGACTCATCTTGCAAGTATCCCAGATTTCCCTAGACCCCAAGAGATGCCCCCACGTTTCCTCGTCAACCCAACCCTGCGAGAAGAGCCTCAGGACAGTGTAAATGCCATGACGTTGTCACTCTCACCCAAGTCAGAAGCATAGACCGTGAGGGCTGCGCCAGGAGACTGGCCACGTAGGGTGTAGTGAAAGGACAGGCTCAGGCAGCCGAAGGACTGGATCAGAGGGCTCAGGAGGGCAGAGCTCTGCCTTGGTTTTGCATTCTTGGGGTCCAGGACCATGTAGAAGCCACCTGGGAAGGAAAAGGCCAGTAAAGTGGGGGATGGCACAGGGATAGGGGCTGCGAGGGCAGGGAGCCCGGCCCTGGGGAGCCCTAACAGTTGCCTAGGGTCAGCCGGCGCTGAGATGGGCCTAAACCCATCACACGACTGGCTGAGGCCTTGGTTCCTTCCAGAAGTGCTTGGCAGGTCTGGGTGAGGACGCGGGCGCCGCCCAGGAAACGCGGCATCCTCTCAGAAGCAGCCAGAATCCTGTCCTTTGGATTCAGACTTTTGAGGTCCCCCCCACAGTCACATCCTCTTCCTTTTCTTAACCCACTGGACATAGCTGCCTCACGCAAAGTGCTGAGAGTCCCGATCTGATGCTGACCCGCAGGGATCTCCTGCCCCCTGCCGCCAGCTCACGCAGCCAATCAGCCTGGACCTCGCTCCGTGACGCAACTGGTAGCCGTGGGAAGGAGGGGGGAAATTAAAGAGGCCTCCGACCGCGCGCACGCACGTGCCGGACGCCCCACGGGGTTCTGCCTGGAGAGTGAAGCCCGGAAAGGTGAGCTTCTGAGAGGGAGAGAAGACGGCTGAAGAGGAGGGAGTGGGCAGAACTGCGAGAGAAAAGAAAAGAGCCAACAGGGAAGGAGGGAAAGA